ATCCATGATATAGTAGACTCCATCTTTACTTTCAGTAATGAACTCCTCCTTCTCCTTCTCTTCTTCTTTTGTCTGTTCATGACACAGGGTCTCTCCATATAGCCCAGTCCGACCTCCGATGGGAGAGCTTCCTGCCTGGCAGTAGAGTGGAGTGTTGGGATTAGAGGGAAGTACTTTAACCAGCTGCTTTCTTTAAAGTCTATTTTATCTCACACTAATTTTACGGCCCTGTGTTTTTCGGGTTGGGTAGCATTGTCTACATAGTTCTCACTTTTGGTCTTTTTATATCTCTGTCTTGTGCAGATGGGACTCTTGTGGAGAATGTTTTTATAACAACGGATCAAAAGATCAGATAATCTTTGCCTTTCAATGGGTGAGTTCAGTACTTTTCCTTTTTTAAAAATATATATGCTGTGTGATTTGGAGACATATTTTATCTTTTTCTTACCCTTCTGCTTTTACATATAATTAATTTTTTCATATTCTACTTTTATTCTTTTGGTAATATCACTTGAAAATTTCTATATTTTTAAAAGATAATAATTTTTATGTTTTGAAGGATAATTTTCAAATGTTATGTATGTGTATGGGTTTGGGTGATGCCCATAGAGGCCAGATGTGTCAGAGCCCCTGGAGGTGGAGCTACAGACAGCTGTGAGCACTTTGATATGGGTGCTGGGAACAGAACTCAAGTCCTCTGCTAGAGAAGATCATGCTATTAAGTGCTGAGTCATCTCTCCAGACTCCCTCCATATTTATATTTTAATAAGTTTTAATATGCCATTGTGATTGTGATGCCAAAATGCATTGACAAATCTAACATCATTATCATTATCATCAACAAGAACAATACAATTGAAGTCCTGATGGTTTCTTTAGCAAAAACTTTAATTGCTATGTGATAGCGCTAGATCAAACTGTATCTATTGTAAGTATATGAGTTTCAATTAATTGAACAGCTTATATAAAGACCCTTTAGCTCAAGAAAGCAAACATTGCTGGCACCCAGCATTCTCTGCTACTCCAGTTGTACCTTCCTTCCCCAAAGTCGTTCTTACTCCAGCTTAGAAGATGGGGCTAGGTTCTCTGGCATCAGATGGAGCACTCATGAGCTCGGTCCATACTACTCCAACAATAGTTTTACCTTTGTTTTCATTGCTTTGTAACACTTTATCACATGACTAGACAACTGTGTTTAAATATTACACTGTTGATAAGCTACAACACATGCCTTGTGTATATTTTCATTTTTATTTTCTGACAGGCTCTCACCGTGTAGCCCAGGCTAGCTTTGAACTCAGTATATAGCGCAGGCTGACTTTGAATTCATGGCAATTCCCTTGGTTCAGCTTTCTGAGTGCTGGGATTTCGCATCTGTGTCACTACGCTGGGCTTCTTGACTTCAGGATGTTTTATACTTTTACAATAGGAGTTTTAGTTCACTAGGTTTATTTTTAGGAATTTGACTGTTTGGAACACAAATATAAACAAAACCAACTTGAATCTTTATTTCTGGTTTGTAGAAATCAAATCAGTTTTTTATTGATCTACTCATCAATTTTTAGAATATGACTTTGTACGTGACCTTGCTCAATCTTTTTAATTTTAATAATTTACATATTTTCTATCCTTCCTGTGGCCTTCTTTCCTTCCTCTCACCTTCTTACTGCCCAGGACACATAGCCGTGTTAATAGAAGCAGTCACTGTGGCTAGCTTTGTCTTGCTCCAAATTCCAGGAGCATCTTGATTTCTAACACTACTGCTAGAACACAATCATTTATGAGTAATAACTGATAGATACTGGGCAAAAATTCTAAGCTTTTAAGTAGTTAGAACCTTGTACCATGATGTGTTTGTTAAATTATGAAAACGTAATCTCCCCTCAAGCTGACATGAGGACCTGTTTCCTCGCCTTTCTTTTGGGCACCATCTCACTGTGGTTCCTCCTAGTCTGGATTTGAACTTGCAGTCTCAGTGTCTTGATCAGCTGGGATGACACATGAGCACCGCTGCATGCCTTTTTGTTTGTTTTATTTCTTGTTCGCAATTTTTTCCCCTCTAAGCTTGGATTAGCTCCTGGATGTTAAGAGAGCATGCAGTTTGTGAGCAAGACTACAGCCGCCTCTCCCATCTGTGACTTCACTATCACTGTCTTCTTACCAGCATTGAAGTAGCAGCCACAGCAATGTCATAGCCCTTAGGAACTGAAATGACGATGCAAAGTTGTTCAGGGGTTGGAGAGATAGGTCAGTGGTGAAGAGTACCTGCTGCTGCTCTCCCAGAGGACCTGTGTTCAATTCCCAGCATGCACATGGCAACTAACGACTGTCTGTAACTCCAGTTCTCAGGGATTGGGTACCTTGTTCTGACTGTCTTAGACACCAGGCAAGCATGCAGTGCACATATACACACACAGGCAAAGCAATCATATGCATAAAATAAAACAAATTATTGAAAAATCATAGATAACAACTAAGGCAGAGCAAAGTTTGGAGACTTGTGTGGGCTGTGGGAGAGGGAGATTTTTTTTCTCTCTTCAAGACAGTTTTTCTGTGTATCTGGGTATCCCAGAACTCATGTTGTAGACCAGGCTGGCCTTGACCTAGAAATCTGCCTGCCTCTGCCTAAGTGCTGGAATTCAAGGTATGAGCCACCACTACCTGTCAAGATTTTTTAAAGTTTATGGGAATTTTCATCATCAGAGACCAACATTATCACCGTACATCTTATCTTCTTCCTATTGCTTCATCTCCTGATGTTCTTTGATTCCCTACTTATTTACTGTGCTTCACACCCGACCTCAGTTATTCCTGGTCTGAAGAATCCCATGTCATGGCTTAGTCAAGGGTTGCTCAGTGAGGTTATGAAATCAGTAAAACTTTCCATCGCTGACCAAGAAACATGTTTTTAGAACTCGCTGTGGGAACGAAAGGTTGAAGTTGTGAATGGAAAGGGGCCGTGGGAAAAGATTTCTTTCCAGATACTCTTTCTGGAGCTGAAGCATTCAGAGATTGAAGCTCATCCACTTACTGTCGATGTCTTATCAAATTCCTCTTTCACACTCTTGACTCCGCAATGCAACGCTGTTCTCTGTTGGTGAGCTGTAGTGCCAAATCTCCACAACAGCATCCAAACTTCCTACCCGTGGCCGAGTGCATCCCCGAGAGATGCGGTAGGCCTTTACCATGCACTGAAACAGGTGTTTAGAGGACAAGCGGGACTCCTGGGGCTTGGAGACCAACACTGGTGATGACCGCTCTTGCTTTCATCTATGGACCTTGGGCTGTCTCCAATTATTTTATTAGTTTTTGCTGCTTTGGGAACTCAAGACCATAAAAGGTCCTCACCCTTTCAGGAGTCGGGGTTGGGCAGTGAGTGGACTGAGCAACTGATGACCTGAGTTTAATCTCTGGCGCCCACGTGAAGGTGGCAGGAGAGAACAAATTTGTTGTCCGTTGACTTCTACATTTGCACACACATCCCTGTGTGTTGACATGCAAGTGTGCGCATGTGCGCACGCACACACACAATCATCATCATCATCATCATCATCATCATCATCATCGTAACAGTGATAAAGCAAAATAAAAAGTAAAAACCAGCTTTGGAAAATGAGAATGAGAATTAAACACACAGAACAGGTGGCCGTATACTAATGTGCGCACACTCACACAGGCTGCTGGAAAGGGCTAGCTTCTAACTGTGGGGGGACTTGGTCATAGCCCTAGAAAATAGAACCTGCAGCGGGATTTCTTCTTTTCTCACTGAAACGAATCATACTGGGGCTGCAATTTTCTCAGTGGCAATGATTCAGAAATAGGCATCAAGGGTTGAAGTTTTCTGTATGTAATTTGATGTATACCCCCTAATGTCTTTCCTTCTAATGCAGATTTTTATAAAAACATAGCATACACTTTGCTACTGTTTTTGATGGAATATAGGAGATGTGTTTATTTAACTTCTTCCAGATTGCTTGGGCTGTTATTAGCCATTTCGGTACTTTTCATCACAAACACACGATGCACATGGGGTTATTGAACCCTGTGGAGTTTTAGTCCTTAATGAAGAACTCTGAAGACTAGAGTTATGAGGTTTTCCTTACCTGATGCCCATTTATGTCTTGTGGCAAAAATGACATTTTAATTTTTAGTTCCTTTCCTAGTTACCATGCATGATATTTACTGTTCAAGATGACAGATTGTGGACCATTATAGAGCCTAGAAAATGTTTACACAATCCTTATCCTGTTCTTTCTACTTGGGTTATATTTGAGTACTTCCAGGGTAGATTACATAGATCAGAGGAACGATTTAGCTAACAGAAGGCTTATGGAAGATGGCCCTTCTTAAATATAGCTACAACAATTTTCTATCCCATGTCATTTTCTTTTTTAAAAATAAAAAATAAAAAGAAGAAAGGGTTCATTTTGCTTCACAGTTTGAGGGTACAGTCTGTCATGGTGGGAAAAGCACAGCAATAGGAGTGTGAGGTGTCTGGTTACCTGGTGTCCATAATCAGGAAGTGGAAAGAGACAAATGTTGGTACTCAGCTCTCTTGATCCAGCCTATAGGATGGCACTAGCCACATTCATGATGTCCCCCGCTTATCGTCTGTTAATTTTTTGTAGACACCTTCACAAAGTCTCCCAGAGTTTTGTTTCACATTTTAGAACGCTGGAGGGAGAAGATGAAGAAGGAGTTAAGTTCCAATTTCCTTTCTTTTTTTAATTTATTTTTTATTGTTTTTACTGAGCTATATATTTTCTCCACTCCTCTCCCTTCCTCTCCCCTCCCCTCCTACCCTCTCCCATGGTCTCCATCCTCTCAATTTACTCAGGAGATCTTGTCTTTTTCTACTTCCCATGTAGATTAGATACATGTATGTCTCTTTTAGGGTCCTCATTGTTGTCTAGGTTCTCTGGGATTGTGAATTGTAGGCTGGTTTTACTTTGCTTTATGTATAAAAGCCACTTAGGAGTGAGTACGTATACTATTTGTGTTTCTGGGTCTGGGTTACCTCACTCAATATGATGTTTTCTAGATCCATCCATTTGCTTGAAAATTTCAAGATGTTGTTATTTTTTCTGCTGTGTAGTACTCCATTGTGTAAATGTACATTTTTCTTATCCATTCTTCCGTCAGGGGACATTTAGGTTGTTTCCAGGTTGTGCTGTGACAAACAATGCTGCCATGACCCATGTCACCTTCTAACCCATGATCTGAAACCCCACCGAGAAATGGTCTGTATTGAGAGGTGGGTTCTCCACCTTGTCCCCCTTCTTCTTGGACTGGTTTGTTATATGGAGGAAGTGATCCAGTGTGTCTCGAAAGACAGGATAATTTGTGCTTTGTCATTCTTTTTTTTTTTTTTTTGAATCTCGGAGTATAAGGTAAGAGATCTGACTACACAGAGATGCTAACACTGTGAGGGAGCCCAGGCAACTCAGAGGGGACATGTATAGGCAATGTCTTCACTGAATTCCAGCTGCAAGCTCCACTTTCTGCGACATGACTGGACACCCCTCCAGGTGATTCCTTCATTATCTTGTTATTTGTCCCTGAATCCTTTCTGAACCCCCTTCCCTCCAAGGGTTGACTTTCCCATGCTGAAGGCCTAGGCAATATGGAGATAATGGTCCCTACATGGTCCTTTCCAGATAACTGACCCGCTGTATAGTAACTGGAGCAAGCCCTCTGGGGCTCTTCTGAAACCGAGACTAAAGGTTTCAATTCATAACTTTTACACACTGTTCTGTGGTCTTATGGTTAAGGTTTTCCAATCTGAATTAGGTCTAGATCCAAATCCTGGGTCTAGTGGCTAGTCCATTCTAACCCAGTCCTTTGTCCTCCTTGAACTTCAACTTCCTTATCTAGAAAGCAGGGACAATCTTCATGTTCGGATATGAATTTGGGATGATAGCACACTGGATTTAAAGGTTTTGGCAAGAGCCTAGCACAGGACTGTTCGCTTCTGTAATCAGGATCTACTACCCTCTCTTCTTTCTCTCTGGTCTAATGTCTTGATTCCTCCCAGTTACTGTACTCTTAACTCTCAGATATGTCTAGACAGTTGAGGCACACAGACAGATGCTATTTTTCATTTCTGATAAAATTTGGCCATGTCATTTTCATAACCCAAAACACGGAGGGAAAATAACTGTGTGTTCATACAGGAGAAGAAGTTAGTGAGTGTAAATCTGAGGAAGGGAGTGAGCATGCCATCTGCCCTTTATTAGTCTCCTGCCAGAGACAAAGAAGGTACTTGATAAATACTTTCTGTGACTTGTCATAAATCCTCCTTATGTACTCTTTGTCTTTCAAAAATTCTGTGCATCAACTTATTATTTGTTTATTTTGGGGAAAAGTAGATGGAATTTCTTGCTGAGAAAAGTTTACCCAAAGGCCTAAAATATAACAATTTCCAAATAACTTTATTTTATTTAGGGCCATGAAAACACACAAAATATTAAGGTAATCATTTTTTACATTTGTAGACCAAAACAGTTTCCTCTGTGTAGTTGGGATATTGTGATAGATATTAAATTCTTTGAGAAGGGGTGAGGGCAATGCATTTAACACAACATGCTTCCAGTTCTAATTTTTATGATTCAATAGCCAAAAAATAATGAGTTAGTTTTGCAATTTAAATTAATTATAACCTTAAACTTACTTCATAATTGCAAATCTCACCAAGGGAAGACTCAATTTTCTTGTCACAACACACAGAACATGAATTAGTGTAGAAATTATGAACCATGGCAAGGGATTTTGCTATAATATAGTAACCCAATTTTTTATAATACTTTTTTATTTTTTGAAATTACAATATAATCGCATCATTTTCCCTTTCTTTTCCTCCGTATAACCCTCCCATGTAGTTCCCCTTTCTTTCAGATTTATGCCATTTTTTCTTTAATCACTGTTATATGTATTTATACACACACATAACACACACACACACACACGTCCTGAATATTTAACTACAACCTGCTCATTTCTTTGGTTCTTTGACTGTATATATGTTCAGGGTTGACCACTTGGTATTGGATAACTAATTGGAAGCTCTTTCCTGGGAAGATCATTTTCCCTGCTCTCAGAATTTCTTAGTGACCTACAGTTCTTTGAATCTGCTTGAGGCCTCATTAACCGGCCACATTCTCAAGTCTGTTGGTGTTGTCCTTGATCAGGTCTTGTTTAAGCAGCCATGTTGATGAGACCTCATGGCTATAGCCCCTCCGACATTTTTAAGAGACACATCCTCACAACAAACTCCTTGTTTCCCTCGTTCTTATTGCCCCCCTCTTTTGCAACAATCCCCGAGCCTTCGGGCAGGAATTGAGTTGTAGATGTATCAGACTGGGCACCATAGTATCTCACATATTCTACACCAGACTCAAATTCTCTATATACCTAAGTTGACCTTGAACTTCTGGTCCCCCTGCTTCCAACTTCTACATGCTAACTACAGGTGTATGCCACTATTCCAGGTTTATGTGGTGCAAGGAATGGAACCCAGGGATTTGTGCATTCTTGATAAGAGTTCTGCAAACTCAGATGCCTTTTGAGCTCTGGATTTGTCATTTTTTAAAAGTGAACAGTATAGAGTTTATAAAGGCAAACTCCACTTCCCAAGATCCAAAGTTACTGTAACTTCTATGTAGTGAAGAGCATGCTGTTTTAACAACTCAAACTTTTATTTTCACATGAAGTCCATTGTGGGTTAGGTGACCCGTTTGGCCTTGGGTTAACTGTGCTGATGATGACAAGGAAGGAGAAGTAGAGAAACATTGATCCTGGGTGCTTCTGCTTAGCAACAACACTAACTACTTCTGCTTCATAATTCATTATCCAAGATAAGCCGAATAGCTGCGTTTCACTAGGTTGGAAAGAGTCAACATCCTAAACACCCAGGAATGGGAGGAAGAAGAGAAATATTGGTGAGCTCTAGGAATGTTCCAGCAAGGAAGATGATGGTTGTAAGGATCTGGTTCACTATTTCTGGGGGGAGGGAGGAGAAATTTATTTTTTTGTTCCTTGAAAATAGTATTGGACAATGAACTCTTGTTTTCCAAGGTTATCAGTGCGGCTTCAGGTTCGGTACAACTGGCTCCAGAACTAGAGGTAGCAGGTGGTGGTTTGGTGTTGGATTCTTTCCAAGGGGCGGATACACTTAGTGCTGGAATTGCCAAAGGGACTGGTTACAACATCTTCTCGCTGAGAATGCAATTCTGCAGTAGGGACCTAGAGGATGATCCTAGAGGGAGCCTCTCATTTAATTATCTCCCCTGGTGTGGCACTGGGAGTGAGGTCCAGCTTGCAAGGTAACCATAGACACTGGAGCAGCATATTTCCCATTCCAGATCATGACTGTGCAGATTGAGTGTATCTGCCTTGCTTTTTCTAATAACGGCTAGTAACCATGTCTACTTCTTAGAGGTCTACTTTATTTCAGTATTTCTTGTGAATAATCAAAAGAATATAAACACCAAGTGGAAGCCTGATGAGAGCCAGTTGGCAAGGAGGGCAACTTCTGTATTTTCTTTGTCCTTCTCTAAAGCAGACATGGTATATCATGTATTTGCTGCTTCTTGAAGACTGGATGCTATCTCTTTTCACAATTTGCTACTCTTTCATCTGTCTCTTCGTCCATTCTTTTGTGTCAGCAAAAGCTTTGCCTTCATGTCAACAAAAGCTAAGGCCAGCTTTTGATGAGTAGGCTTTGGTCCATTGGGGATTTGGTTTCCCCTTGACCCATCCTTGCCACTGAAATGAGTTCTCTGCTTTCCTCTAAAACCAGGGTAGTGCCCTAAAACATGATTTCTTGGAATGGGAGTAAGGACAGTATCTGTTTAGCAGGTGCCCAGACAGAGCACTGGTGTCAATATTGGGAGAAAGAGCATCAGTGTCCTGGCCCGAGGGCACTATGGCATGGACTGTTCGCTAGGGTGGTGGCCCTTTCTAGGACAGGGAAACCAGGGGAAGGTGTGTTTCAGTGAAAGCAATCTGTTAGCTGTACTCGGAGGTGAGGGTAATTAGAACATTTTCTGATGTCACTCTTGCAATTTCTTTCCCCAATGTGTGTTTTCTCAATCTACGCTCATCCAATACCACACATACTTTTGACTTCCTTTTATCAGTCAACAACCACAGACTGATGGCTGGCTGCTGGACAGAAAAAGGTTAAATAAAAGGACCAAGAAGCATGACCTAAGAGTGCTTGTTGTAATTAGGAAAGGCCTATAGGTGAAGCTTTAGAGATAGGGTAGAAAGGTAAATACCATGAAGTGGAACCAATAAAAGGCCCTCTGTAAGCTTGTAGAAGACAGGGAGCCTGGAGGAGAATTACCCGAGATCTCAGTGTTGAAGGAGAGGCTGAAGTAGATGAAAGGGGAATGCTGGCTTCAGGCCGGGGAAAGAGCTCAGAAACTTCAGTCCTCAGACTTTTGGGTGGTCAGCTGAGGAGAGATTGTGGTAGAAGGCGAGAATTGTGATCAACATCTGGCAGTCAACCCATGAACAGGACTCTGGTACCCTAGCAAGCAGTCTGGGACTTGGAACTTGATCCTAGAGGTTGTAGGATCCACTGAAAATTGGGGATGTGAGGGATTTGGATTCCAGTAACAGACTGTTCTTTCATTCCTGGCCACCCAGACCCAAATAATCACACAGAAACTATATTAATTACAACACTGCTTGGCCTATTAGCTCAGACTTTTTACTAAGTTACTCTTACATCTTAAATTAACCCATTTCTGTTAATCTGTATATCACCACTAGGTTGTGACCTATAGGTAAGGTTCTGGTGAGTCCTCCTTTGGCAGGTACATGTTGCCTCCCTGATTCCACTTACTCTCTGTCTATATCTCTTCCAACCTGGCTATATTCTACCCTATTCTGCCATAGGCAGAAGCAACTTCTTTATTAACCAATGGTAATAAAACATATTCATAGAGAGTGATCAGGGATTTGGGCAAGAGATCTGAGAAGCACAAACAGAAAAAAAAATTCTCCGTGAAGCTGGACGTGTATTGCTTATCCTTGTAATCCTGGCCTTTGGGAAATTGAGGCAGGAGGATCATGGCATATCTGAGGTCAGCTTGATGTCAATTGTTGGTTCCATGATCCTGTCTGAAAATAAGACAAGGAAACAAAACTCGACGACAGTGCTGTGGTTTGAATCTGAAGTCTCTCCCATAGGCTCGCGTGTGAACTCTTGGTCTTCAGCTGATGGTGATACGTTGGGGAGGTTGTGGG